TTAAGGACAAATGGTAGTGGACGACAAATTAGGCCATATCTGCCAACTGGCTCCCTCCTGGTTTGTTCCAAGGATGATTTTTCCAAATGGTAATGAAAAGATAACCAAATTACAATTATAGGTAAAAATAGCCACGAATAAAATATAGGCATTTTGCAAATTGTAATGATCATGCTTTCCTAAAGGTAGTTAAAATCATTTTAAATTAAATTCATCAATCCAAGAATTCAGCAGAAAAGCCTATATTTTGTTATCGCTTTAAATATGAAATACTTCGTGAAAATCTGACAGCATTAGTTGTTATAGCACTGTCAAAAATTCCGAATTCAATAACGGTAAAAAGTACCTGCATTCAGGGTGCCGGTAAATTTTACCATTTTTTTCGGAGCACGTTAAGAAACAAAAATTTAATATTACCGTAATTTTACCGTAACTTTCCGTAATATTACCATATCTAATACCGTAATTTTTATAGCAATAATTACTGAGAAATCAGGCTAACTAAATAAATATTACTGTAAAATTTACGGTATAATATTTTATGGTAAAAATGGATTTCAAAGATGATGCACCCAAATTGCCTGCACTTTATACCGTAATTTGATCTGAATTTTTTTACAGTGTATTAGACATGCGCTCAACTACTATGAAATTTTAATATTTTATATAATATTTGAAAATATTAATATTTTAATACTTACTAATATTTTATATTTAAATAAAATATTTTAATAATGTTTTATATTTTAATAAATAATTAGCATTTTAATAAATGAGAATTAAATAAATTTTGTCCTCCCGTATTAATAAATAAGTGAAACAAATGCATAAAGCAGAGACTAATGGCCATGCTCATAAGTGATGATAAAAATCAATTTGATTAAAAAATTTCAACTTTTCACTATCACTCTACAAAATCTTTGACAAAATCTTAAAATTTAGAAGGGTATGTAAGCAAATATAAATAGCTGAAACTACACATAAAATTTTAAGTTATTCAGTTTTTAGTTGGGATTTTCTTTTTTTTTTTAAATAAACACTTTAAAACTATGTTTTTAAACTGATCTGAAAAAGAAAAAGTAATTTCATTTTTGTTTCACCTGAAACTAAAAAAGTGAAGAGCTTCACTTTCGAAAAACTTGGGAATATTTTAAGTGGTGTTCACTTAAAATCCTGAAAAAGTATGTTTTAGATGTGACAAAATTTAAACTATTGTTTTTTTACTTAATTTAAAGACATATTTTTTTTAAATTATCATTTTAGTTTTGCGCCTGTTCTTTTTGTTAAAAGCAGTCAAATTTTAGATTGACAATAAATTTTATTTGGCAGTTAAATGGCGATGAAAACAGCTTGTAGAAGCTAGGAAAAAAAATTAAAACATGTAGTGATAACGGGAACCGAAATTCAGTTCAAATTTAGGCACTACAATTAGTCGGAAATAAGGACATTTGATACGGTTATAACAACTTTTCGGTGAAAAGATTGACATAAATTCTAGTTTTAGTGGTCAGAAAACGCTTAAAACTTGTATTTCTATCAGTGACTTTTCCGGGTAAAGTTGGAGCGTTATAACTAGATATGAAACCAAAAATATCACATGCACCGCACTAAAATTTTTCATAAGACTTTGTTAAACGTGAAATAAAAACAAATTACGCATAAGGGAACAAATCTAAAATCTACATAAGTTAGGAAAAAAAGAACTTCATCGAAATGTGGCTATTCTTTAAAAAAATATTGACAAAAATTTCAAACATTCATAGCTGACTTGCTAAACTGTCTATCTTAGAAATACAAATTAAAAATACGAAGACATAAAACTACCCATAATCTAAGAATGACCCTTGCACGAAATTAATTTTGCAATGTTTATTACTTTAAGCCGTAGCAATATTTCGTTATTATTCGTTATCAAAATTGTGCACCCCAAATTATTCGTTACCTCTATTTCCTATTTAGTTTTGCACTTTTATTACTTTGTAAAACTTTAAACTACAAGATGAAGAAAATTTTCTAAAATAATTAAATTTGCATTTTTATTAATGAAATTTTTAAAAGTTTATTAATATTTATTAATTAAATAATGGACATGACGCGAAATTTTATGGCAATGAAATGATACACAAATTTCATTTTCCATGTTTCGAACCGTTACTTTGTGTTTGACATAATTAAGTTCCGAGAAATGCTCCGAGCAAACATTTCGTCAAATTGAGGAAATTTCTGTAGTTTGAAGATACGAATTTCGTCAAAAGAGTTTCGTCATTTTGAGATAAGAAAATTTAAAAATACAGCTTTTCGGAATTATAAAGAATTAAATGCTCATAAAGTATTTACACGCTTTGGTTCAAAATTTGTCATTCAAAACTGCGTAACTCGCTATTTAAATCATTTTGAAAATTATTAGAGGAAACATTAAAATTAAGAAATTGTTATTTAAAATTATTTAATTTATGCACTTATTTTTTAATGAATGAGTCTTTTATAGATGTGTGCAAAGAAATTTCGATTCGTTTAAAAAGTTTCCGATATTTGAAAAATACGCAGAAGGTAAAATTAACATTGAGAGGCCTAATTTTTTGAACGCTTTCTGTGCTAAACTATTGAGACCATATTTCCAGATTTCAAGAGCCCCCTCCCACGTTTTAATGATCAAATTGACAATATCGTCAGGGGAAAAAAAGAATGTTTTTACAAGAGAAATATGTTTTGTGATAAAATCAGCTATTTAATTAATAGTAAACTTTAAATATCGTTTGGATAAATATAGAACTAGGATATTAGGATATGTATAGAATGGGAAAATTTGGTCAGTAGCACAAAAGTTATTCAGAGTGTTATCTTTATTTTAGAGGAAGGCAGCTCACTGTACACCCTTTTCAAAACCAAATAAAAGTGTTTCAAAAGTTTATGGAATTTTTTACTTGGCATAAATTTGCATAAAAGGTAACATTTTTATAAATCTTAGATGAAAAGCAAGTTTATATATTTATCGACTGTAATTACAAACACATACAATTAGGAAACAACATAATCTCCATGAATACACTAAGATGATTCATGAATATAGAAGTAGTTTTATCAAATATTTGACAGCTTACGTTTCATTAAAAATGACATGATTCCGCTACGAAAATTCTGTCAAAAACAAAGAAATACAACTCATGGTTTCCTGCGTGACTTTAAGTCGATATTTTATTTCTAAAAGTGCGAAAGAATCGGAAAGAAAAATAAATATGTAAAAAAGTTATTTAGTACTGGTAATGTTTACTGACTTCTCATATCAAAATAAATATCCCCTCTCAGATATTAAACTCTCACTTTTCACGATTTATCACAATTTCTTCAGCTGTATTTCTTTAATTATGTGAATCATTTCGTCACTAAATCGCATAATTAGTGACGAAACGTAAACTCTAAAATATATAACAAACATGCTTTTTCAACATAAAACGAATCTATCTACAAAAGTAACTCTTCAATTGATGAAATTACAACGATGAAATACGAAATATTTCTTTACGATTGAGGAAATATGTTCCTTTGAAGAAGTAGTGATAGTTATTTCGGCACTCTGACAAAATGTTCGTCCGGAGCATAAGCCAGAAAACGGTTTCGTCAGAAACGAAGAAAGTTTCCTAAAATTTTAGTATCCATTTTTACAGTGTAGAATTTTATTTCATTTCTCTTCTAATGTGGGCTATAAATTTTATTTTCTCGTGATTTTTGGTAAAACAAATAGTATGATCTTTTAATGTGGTTATATAGTTTATCTAACTTGTATCGTAGTTCATTATGCGGAGAGAAAAAAATTCTGGTTAAAATTTCCTTACTGTATAATAAAAACATTTCTAATTTTAAAAAAGAATACATATTTCTAGTTGAAATTTTAATGTACAGTATTTTAACCATTCATTTGGCAGTTTTTCATTTCATGTAGTTACAGTTTACTGTAAATTCTGGTTTACAAAATTATAGTTCTCATTACCACGCATTTAGAAAAAAATACAAAACTGAAAGAAAAGAGAATAAATGGTTTCAATGACATGTTCTAAGATATCATGATAAAATTATCAAATATTATCACATTTTATAATATCATAGGAATTACATACATATTATACATGTACACATACATATTACATACATATTGCATACATATTATACATGCACATACATATTACATACATATGACATTCATATTATACATGCATATACACGTACATATACACATACATATTACATACATATACACATATATATTACACACATATTACTTACATATTATACATAATACATACATATTACTTACATATTATACATAATATATGCATATTAAAATACCATATATTATAATATCATTCTACCAAAATCATTACCAAAGCGATTTGGTAAATATTATCGAGATTTTTGGTATTGCCATAGAGCAATAAACATGGTAAATTTTACCGTATTCTGGTAGTTTTGACCATACTTTTTTCTCAAAGTTAATAGGAAACTTTGTTAACAGAAAACTTGCAATAAAATAGGTTTTTTGCCATTTTTATAATATGACTTGACTGAAAAAGATTATGAAATTAAAAAAAATACTTAGATAATAATATGTTTTCATATTTCTCTCTCTCTCTCTCTCTCTATATATATATATATATATATGTTTTTTGAGTTTAAATTAGTCTATTGTTATCAGAGAAAATAATCAAACTTAGAAATTTTCCTTAATTTTGGACGACAGTAAATATTTACAATACAGTAAAAAATTCAACTGTTTACGTCTGTATNAGTATATATATATATTTATATATATATAGATACAGTTTCATATATATATATATATACAGAGAGAGAGAGAGACAGATAGATAGATATAGATATAGACATAGATATTTAAATAAATATAGATGTAAAGATCTGGATAGATAACAATTATGTTAATTTTTTAAATGATTAAACTCAAACAAAAATATTTAATTGTTTTAAAACTTCAGCGATATACTTACTTTCTTCACTTGAACTTAAATTCGGAAGAAATACAAACGGCCATGAAAAAGGGGTAAAGAGATTTCATGATAATATATGATTGTTAGTTATCTTTCATTACACTGATTGTTTATGAATATAATCTTTTATTTGCAACCTTTGATTCACAAATCTTTTGTGAATACAACATGGCGTGAGAAAAAAAAAAGAACGAAAGAAATAGAATAAAAGGTGCCAGATAGACTAAAAAAAATTTCTTTTCTGAATGATCACCTTACCGTTCAATTAAAAATTAGACACGAAATCCAAGTGTTATTATTTTTTAGTGGTTAAATAGAAATTTAAAGATATTTTATCGTGAGCAATAAAAGAAACAAACTCTTTTAAACGTCTCCCAGACATTTAATAAACCTTTCTTCTGAAGAATATGCTGAAAGAATGATACTTGGAAAAGTACCAGTCTTCAGTGGGGAATCTTACATAAATACATTTTCTTAGAAAATAGAGAAAAAACTTTTTGGGAAAAAATATATTCGAAAGACTGACTACAACAATATTTTAATGACAATTTAGGCCTAGGATGGTGAGGATAAATATATAATTTATTTATTTATTTAATTTTCACATTTTTGGTCATTTTAAAAGGGTATTATAAAACGTTTTTGAGTCGTTTTTTTCAATATCCATATTTTTTTAATAAATTGCAGTAAGTTTTGCATTGAATCTTACTTATCATTATTTCAAATATACTCCAAAAAAATGCTGAGCAAAGCGTTGATGGTGTGCAAACTTTTTAAGATATAAGAAATTTCTTTTGGACAATTGACGTTCTTTCAATTTTAAGAACATCATAAAATATTAGAAAATACACTACAATCCCGATGTTCTTGAAATTATGGAATTATTTTTTTAATTTAAGGTTTGGTTACTTTTAGCGGTTTTCAGAAACTTTTATTCCGTTATAAGGGCATTTTTAAATAATTTTTAGGTCATTTACATCCTAGCCATGAATCATAAATGCCGACCTATTAAGAATACGAAACTAAGTCGAAACATTGCAATAGATGATCCTAGATATTTTACTGTGAGTATATAGAGAAATAAAAACGTGTGTCTCATACATGCAATAATATTATCTTCGAAACAAACTACTGAAAGATTAGTTGCAAAAAAGTAACTCTAGATATAGTTGTAGCATTTTCTCTGAATATTTCAGGAATACAACGTGGTTTTAGGAAAAATAAAAGGAAATATTCGACAAAAAAATTCTTTAAAGGTCATCATAAATGCCGATCTATAATGAACATACGGCGAACCAATTACGCATACAGCACAAAAAAACGCTATTAATTTTTAAATGACTGAATTAGTTGACAATTTACCGTAAAGAAATAAAGATATTAAAACGTTTGTCTCAATTATGTAATAAGACTTTTCCAAACAAACTGTTGAAAAATTGATAGTAAAAAAGTAACTTTAGGAATAGTTATTGCATTATCTCGCAAATATTTCATGAATACAACGTAGTTTTTGGAGAAAGAGGTAGAAATATTAGAAAGACTAAAATAAATTCTTTAAAGGTCATCATAAATGCCAATCCACAAAGACTATCCTGCTAACCAATTAAGCATTCAGCACAACGAAACGCCATTAATTTTTTAATGGCTGAATTAGTTGACATCATTCCGTAAGGAAGTAAAAATTTTAAAATGGAGAAGGTTTTTAGTAGAAAAAAAGTATGGATAGATACAACTATTGCATTCTCTCACAAATATTTCATGAATATAGTGTGGTTTAGGAGAAAGAGGTAGAAATATTAGAAAGTCTAAAATAAATTCCTTAAAGGTCATCATAAATTCTAATCTACGAAGAATATCCTGCTAACCAATTAAGCATTCAGCACAACAAAAAGCCTTTAATTTTTTAATGGCTGAATTAGTTGGCATCATTCCGTAAGGAAGTAAAAATATTAAAACGTAAAAGGTTTTTAGTAAAAAAAAAGTATCGATAGATACAACTATTGCATTTTCTCCCAAATATATCATGAATATAGTGTGGTTTAGGAGAAAGAGGTAGAAATATTAGAAAGTCTAAAATACATTCTTTAAAGGTCATCATAAATGCTAATCTACAAAGAATATCCTGCTAACCAATTAAACATTCAGCACAACGAAATGCCATTAATTTCTTAATATCTGAATTAGTTGACATTATTCCGTTAGGAAGTAAAAATTTTAAAACGTAAAAGTTTTTTAGTAAGAAAAGTGTCTATAGGCACAGTTATTGCATTTTCTCTCAACTATTTCATGAATAAATACAATGAGGCTTTGGGAAAAAGAGAAGGAAATCTTCGAAAGCTTACAAACATTTCTTTGAAGGTCACCATAAATACCTTTCTATCTATGAAGAATCAATTAATAATCTGCAAATCAATTAAGAGGACGGCACAGTTAAGCGATATTAATTTTTTTAATGCCAAGATTTAAATAAGTTGACATTTTATTGTAAATACGAAACGGCATGAAAACGTTTATCTCAATTATGAAACAAAGCAGTTTTCGAAACTAACTGTTGAACGATTGCTAGTAAAAAGTTTCTATGTGTATAGATATTGCATTTTCACTTAAATATTTCATGAATAAAATGTTATTTTAGGAAAAAGAGAAGGAAATATTCGAAAGTATAAAAAAATCTCATAAAGGTCATCAGAAACGCCAATCTATAAAGAATATATTGCAAGTCAACTAAGCATGCGGCGCGACATAACTATATTAATTTTTTAATGGCTGAATTTAAATACGTTGACATTTTATCGTAGCGATTTTAAAACGTGTACTTCGATTACATAATAAGGGAGCAGTGATGGCTCAGGGCAGTGGTGCGCAAACTTTTTTCGACCGCGATCCCTTTTGTAGAGAGAAAATTTTTGGCGACCCCTAGAGATAAATGTTCACAAATACGATGTATATTTCGAGCATTTCTTTCGTTTCATCGAATAAAAACATCATCATATTTGACTCATATTAATTTTATTTATAATTTTAAGAAAATACTTTTTGTATAACACAAAAATCAGTAAATTGCCCTTTAATGAGATGTATGTGGCTGCAAGTTTCTAATTATCTCATCGATGTTTGGATGTATGTTGCTAATTGCAATTCGCATATCATCTTCAGGGTTTAAACGCGAGCGGTATTTAGTTTTTATTGAAACTAGTTTGCTAAATCCAGTTTCACATAAATACGTTGATGCAAATTGTATTAACACTCTGATGGCATTCTTGCATAAAACGGGATATTGTTTTTCCACGGATAGCCAAAATTTTTGGCAAGGCTGAGTCTTAAATTGATTTCGAAGAGTATAATCACTAATCAGATCTATCAATTGCTCTTTCTCACTAATTTGAAGCGTTGAACTGCATATGTCAAAGGAAAATGGATCACGAATCCAACCAAGATCGTTTTCAGGAAAATCCTCGAATCTTCTCGAAAAATTTTTCTTTAACTTTTCAATGTGATTGGAAATGATGTTTTTAAATGTAAATATATCTATATTATTTTCCTTGATAAAATCGTTAAAGCAAGGGAACATGTTGGTGTTGTTTTTATTCAGTTCAGTTTGCCAGAGACTAAACTTATTCTTAAAAGCTTGAATTTTACTGGCTGTAGTTATGATAGTTGAATTCTCACTCTGCAAGCTCAAATTTAAGTCGTTAAGTTTTTCGAAAATATCAACTAAATAGCTCAGCTTCCCTAGCCAAACTTCATTGATATAATAACTTGCCAATCTATGTTTCTTTTCGATTTAGAACATGTACACTTCATTTCTCAAATCAAATATCCGTCGTAGTATTTTCCCACGTGAAAGCCATCTGACTTCGGTGTGTAACAGTAATTTCTCATACGTTGAGCCCATCTCATTGCAAAGTATTGAAAAGAGACGGCTGTTGTGGCTGTTGCATTTAATGTAGTTAATTGAACTAACAGCGTCTTGTAATACGTTGTGCAACTCTTCATCCATATCTTTTGCAACAAGAGCTTGCCGATGAATCATACAGTGATTAAATACCATATGAGGCGCCACCTTCTGAATTAAGCCTCTGAGCCCTTTATTCGAACCTGTTAATGCTGCAGCACCATCAGTACAAACCGCAACACAGTTTGCCCAGGTAAGGGACTTTGTTTCAAAATATTCATTTATTACTTCGAATATTTTTTCTCCAGTTGTTTTTCCTTCCAAACTTTTGCAACATAAAAACGTTTCTGTTATATCTTCATTAAAAATAAACCTAACGTAAATAATTAGTTGTGACATTTTAGTAATATCGGTAGTCTCGTCCAGTTGTAAAGCAAATACAGATGAATTTTGTATGCGTTTTATGACTTCTGACTCGATATTTCGTGACATTTCGGAAATCCAATTGCAATTAAACAGTGAGTGATGGCGCTTCACTCTTTATATGTACACTGTATGGTATGCAGCATGCAGGGATAATGCATTTCATAAAAATTTGGTGACCCCCAAAAAACTTCTGGCGACCCCCAGAGGGGTCGCGACCCCTAGTTTGCGCACCACTGGCTTAGGGGATAGAGTGCTCGTCTTCTGATAAGGTGAACCTGGTTCGAATCCCAGCGTTGGCTGATCGGAATGAATTCCGCACTCGGCTTGCACCGACCACAGTGCTCACGCAAAATGTCCACAGTGGTAGACGGATCATGGGTTAGAGTCCCCTTGCCTTGAAGCTAACCGTGGGAGTTTTTCGTGGTTTTCCTCTCCATGTAACCAAAATGAGGGTTAGTTTCATCAAAAAAGTTCTTCACGAAGGACCATTTCTACGAATACTTGATACAAGAGTTCCTTTGTCTTCTGGATTGGGTTTAAAATTACAAGACTACGGAATTGAACATTAGTAGTCGTAAGCTCAAAAAATTGGATCGGCTGTTCAACGACGGTTATAAAAAGTATGTAATATTACTCTTTGAAACAAACTGCTTCAAGAGTGATAGTAAAAAAGTATCTATAGATGTAGTCATTGAATTTTCTCCTAAATATATTTTTTGAATTAAATATATTTTTTGAATTTTGAAGTGGTTTTAGGGAAAAAAGTTAAAAATATTCGAAATCCTAGAAAAAAAAATTTTAAAGGTCATAAACGCCGATCTCATAAAAAAT